ACAGAGGGATGCACGCCACCCACTGGAGACTATGAGTTTGTAGTTACGATCTAGGGGCTTAGAGTTTAGGGGGAGTTCGGATCACGTCTCTGAATGATCCTGATACCCGCCCCAATACCGACCCATAATCCCCCCATGTATTCCCAGGGTTGCCTAGTTGCAAGAAACTTCCACATGTGTATAACGCCGGTGCTTGTCTTCTGGGGACTGACTGGGGTCAAATGTTGGATACGAAAGCTTTAGGGCTCAGGGTGAGCCCTGTTTAGGGTTCAGGATTTGGGGTTGGGATTGGGAGGATTTGAGCCTTGCTTTTGAGCGACCTAGGCCTGTCCGCTGAAGCCTCGACCCCTCTAAAAACGGTGGGTCCCCTAAAGCCTGAAACCCCATAGATCCTTCTGATCCCTTCAAGGGCTCCAAAAATACTAAACTCTATAGATTGCTATACCCACATCAAAGGGATGAATAAGCTCTATGGATTCCCAGAACCCCCTTAACAAGGTCCCCAAACCCATACAGAAAAGGTGCGGAGGGGTTTAAAGATTATAAGAAAACAAAGCATACAGCAGCCGGATCTCTGCCGTCCTGTCTTTGCCTGCGCACTTCTTGCCACCCCCTCCACCTAATAGTGAAGACCTCCCAAAAAAGGGATTATAGCATTTACAGTGTAGGGCGTGGAATTTTAGTGTGCAGGACTGAAGGGTAGGGCATATAAGGTGGAAGAGAAAACATGAAACATTGTACATTTTTGGGTTTAACGCTTGTGATAAAACCTCCCCACCCCCTACTAACAAATCTTCCCAATGAAGTTCCCGCATAAAAATGGGAAGTATGTCTTATTCTTCTGACTGTTGTCATTACTCACGGACCACTACGGAACCTGGTGAGTATTTGTTATCAACTAGGCAGGTTGGGGGTTTGCTCTAAGGGGAAAGAGAAACCACTCAACCCTAGACCCCGGCAGTCAATGTCTGGGTAGGCCCCTGGGATATTCAACATTTTCCCTACTGGCTTTGGTAAGGGACCCTATATACTAATATTTAGTTTCCACTTTATTTTCCATTATCCCAATATTACCCCAATATAATATAGTAGTTTCCATTTTCTTTTCCATTATCCCTATATTGCGCCAATATAACCCACAGGTACACAAAAAGGTTTTTAGGGGCCAACCCAGATGTCCATTGCCAAGGCCGTGGCTGCCATGATCGCCCTGAAGGCTAATCGGGATCAGCAACGACGGTTTAGGGCCTACATGGGGTTTAGGGTTTAGGGTAGGTTTAGGTTTTATGGAGGCTGAAGGGTTTATATATAAGGTGTATGGTTAATATGGGGTCTGGGGTTATAATATAGAGTTCTGGGTAATTAGCATACAGCATCTACTTGGACACCAGGTGCTAAAGCTTTACTAGGCAAAGCAGCCACGTGCATTTTCGACAGTCAGGAACCATGTTTGCAATGCGAATCTATACCCCTTCCTACATGCACATCGGTATTTCCAAGTGACGGCAGTGACGGGGTCCCCCGTATATGTAGTCAAACGGACGCATATTTTTGGAGTCCGATATCAACCCTAAACCCGAAGTACGCGTTTTCAATATCAGTGGGCGTTTTGCTTGTACAGGCCGCGGAGACAGGCGATGTTCCGGACCTTTCTGCCTACCCTGATTTTTCAGACTTCGCCACGCGCCCAGTTTAATGTAGACCCGTGATTAGTAAACCTCCTCCTTTTAATTCCTATTCTAATCCCTACTAAGGGGGGTACTTAATCAGGGGTCTACATTACAGGGTTCAGGAGCTAGAGGGGGCCCGTAAGCGCGCGCGCACATACACACACAACGCAGACAATGCTACGTCTAGCAGTCATGTGCCAGGGGCAGCGTCGAAAGAGGCACATTTTGCAGAGGCATCCCCACACAACAAAGAGCCAGTCAAGCTTATGAAGCAACTGAGACGGCTTTGAGGTCGGCGGTGTCCAGCCACCCATATGAGGCAGATCGCGAAGCATTCTTAGACCCTGAGCTTGGGAAAGCAGCATCATCGAAGATTATGATTACAAGCAGAAGGAGCTGCATCCGCCTACATGCCGGAACCTGCTAGTATGTGCGTATGAAGCAATAGTGCAAACAATGCATTGGCTGGCATGACCTAGGCTTGTCAAAGGCTCTAGCAAGCAAAGCCGCTTATCCAGTGCAGAAAAGATGGGCCGCCACTAATCACCAAACAAACTCATATTTGCATACACATACATATATATATATGTACGTATGCTTTCATATGTATACCTGCATGTAGGTACAGGCAAATTCGGTTGTTATGTATGTGTAGAACCCTCTATGCCCCCCTATAGTTGAGGTATGACCCTCATCAACTCGACAAGCATTTTGCCTTTCTGATCAGCAACTGCTTTGGAACCGCATGACCCATCGCAGCCTTCTCGGATCCAGCATCGTGGACAAGCAAGGCTTACTCAAACATTAAAGTTTCCATTTGGAACAACAACTTGGACAAACTTACTTCATGTTACCCCGCCAAATGACAATCACACTCATGGCAATATTAGTAACCCCTTGTTGAGGATGTCGATAGGCCATTACGTACATGGCAGTTCGACCAGCCGATGAGTTCAAGGAATGCGGATATGCGCCAAATTGCACCCTCCCCAGCTTCTTAAGCCAGACACATGTGCACAAACGTGTGTATACGTATGTGCATATACAGATGCACGCATATGCATTCGAATGCATATTTATATATCTATAGATATGTCTACGCATGGACCGACGTAGGTATACCTACGCCCCGTGCTTGCCAGAGGTCATGGGGTCATCCTCATAAAGGGACACTCAAAGCAGCGGATAACGAACAATCTGGGCACCTGGGAGTGGTTTGATTGGGATATTATTGTTTGCAATGCAGAATTAGATTACATCCTCCTTCTAGGTCTGCCATTTTATAAAAGGACTCAAATCTTATTTGCTTCAACTTTCAAAAACGCGCTGCTCATCTAAGCCATGTCGGGCTTTGCCAGTCCCACTTACCAGAAGCACTGCCTTACAGCACCTGCCTGCAACTGAGCTCTCCAGCAGATGGGTCCCTATTTTAGGGTTTAGGGGTTTAGGGTGTAGTGTTTGGTGTTTGGGATTTGGGCTTACTATAGACAGAGGCCTAGCTGATGACCACTTTGGGGAAATTATTTTCTACAGTGGATACTTGGGGAAAAGAATTCTGATCAGTTACCATTCGTAGTCCCGCTGGGCGTCAGCAGGGAATACGGGAATATAGTCTTTTTTTGCTAGAAAAATCATTCCCCTATTCCCTACTAAGCCTCAGTAAGAGGAGCAGTAGGGGCTCAGCTAAATTCGTCCTACGTTGCTACGCATAGCAAAGGCCAGCAGCACCAATAGTCAGAGCCTAGAAAGCAGTGCAATGTAAACGTGGAAGCCTAGATAAAACCCGCTTCCATTTCATGTTCAACTCTCGTTGCCATTCGATTCTCCAATACAATCCTACATACCCTTGTCTATATACATATAACATAGATCTGGTTTCCGTTCCACGTTGCATTTCTCTTTTTCTTGTCATTCTTCTTCATTGGTACTTGGACCCCACTTGCTTGCGTAGTCTTGCCTGCTTGGGGCTTAGGGTTTAAGGGTTAGTGTCCCTTCAGATTCTTTCTGGCTGCGTGCACGCCCGGATGAAAAAGTGGCTCCCATCATGTATTTTGGAAAGAAATCGTGGAGAATCAAATGGAACAGAACATGGAAAATGAGATGGAAACGGGTTTATGCGGGTTGGAATAATCATTTCATACAAATATTAACCCTGGCCACCCCTGGTATCAAATATTCCCCAGACGAGGCCCTATACATTTGTGGACATGTTTAACAAAGGGCGTGGGAGTATCTTGATTATTAGAAGAGCTTACTGAATATGAGCTGCCAAGTCATCCATGGACCACTGTTTGCTTGCCGGCCTGTTCGATTGCATGTTAAGGTGATTCCGTCCATCACATGGGGGGGTGCCTTCTCGGCTGCGCACCCACTTTGCATGGCATGTTTCTGTGAGTGCTGCTTCCGTTGCTGGCTGAGAGGCTTTGACTGTATGATACTGTATGTCTTGGGTTGTCTTGTCTCACCCAATATAGAGCAAGCTTATATCAACGTTTTGGGTATAGTGTTTTATATGAAGGAGATAACTGTACTAGGTTCCACCCACCCCCACCCCAAAAAAAAGAAGCTACTCAGGTGATTCATGTCCTGCAGGGTGCGCCTGCTTCCCTGTCGCTTTTCGTGCGGATCACAGCATGCTACAGCCCACCGCGGGCTTGGCGGTTTGGGGTTTCCCAAAGTTACGTATATTTTTGGGGGGTTTAGGATTTAGGGTTCAGGGGTCCCCAAAAGAGTGATTGTAGTACGTTGGGGTCGGGGTAGCCCTATTTGGGGAGCTTGACAGTTTGGAACCACTGTCTGTCAAAGCCTGAGGGGCTTTTGGGGTTTAGAGTTAGGGCCTACAAGGGCTAGGGTTTAGAGTTAGGACCTTTAGGGTGTAGAGTGTTAGGGTCTGTTTAGATGACAAAAGGTTATGCTTGGGCTGCGTTCCAGCCCAAATGAGCAGCGTTTTTTTTCTGCATGAAAGAGCTATGATGACCGCGAAACTGCAAGAGTGCTCGCGTAGCCTCGGGCCTGCAGGGCGTAGTCTTGCGTAGTCTCGCGTAGTCACGTGTAGGTTACCTTCCCCTTGTAGTCTGCGTAGTTTGTATGTTTCATAAGACGTATTGCGTAGAAGTTGTGCAGGCCAGGTGTGCCGCGTAGTCCGC